TCATCGCTGCACCACCGCTTTCCACACGCGCTCACCGCTGCACCACCGCTCCCCACGGTGCTCACCGCTGCACCACCGCTCCCCACGCGCGATGCATGGCAGCTCCAGGCGACGGGGGCCAGTGGTGCTTGATCTCTTATTCCTATTATTATTATTATTTGACAGCGGTGCAGCAGTGCAAGTAGGACGCGATGTGCCGCCGGTGAGCTTTCGCCCACCACGATGCCAAGAGACACATGGTGGGGTTTGCGACGCTGTGCGGAAGTCTGGCAAACGAGAAGAAAGTCCCACAATTCGCGTGCTCTGGTCCTAGTACTCACCCACGCTATGCTGATTTTTCTTCCCCTTCTTTTCTCGCCCCCCCCCCCTTCCCTTGCTCCCCCCCCCCCCCCCACCCGCCTGATCGGCCCCTCTCTTCTCCTCTTGTTTTTTTTTATTTGGCCCATTTGTCAGACCGCCCGTACCAGCGTGCAGAGCTGCGATGCCGCCGCCGCGAAGTCAAAGCGCTTTGGCTGCTGTCGCGAGCAATGGTGGCGTAATTGGTCTCGCAGCTCGCTCAATTAAATCGGGGTAAAATAAAGGACAAAACAAGGCGGACAATGTGCGCGCGTGTGGACGGGGAGCGGTGGCGCTACGAACCCGGCGACCCGACTTCGAGGCTCGCTCACGGCCAACATCAGTGAATGTCTGAACCGGTTCTGGGCCTCCAATAGGTCGACTCGGCCTCAAATGAGTACCTGGTTGCGGTGTGCATCAAACATCGGCAGTGTGGAGACGGAGGAGGCCGGGCGTGGTTCTCGCCGCCAACACCCCCTCGCGTGCCGTGTCGGCCTTCATAGGTGTTCGCCAACAGCACTTGCCCCAAGAGTCTGTCAAAGGCTATATGGGGTACCTTTGTCTTTGCGTGGACAAAATACGATCAGGTGGGTTTTTTTGTGCATCAGTTAATGCATGTACCTGACGAGCTGCGAATAACGAGATTAAATTAGGCGACCGAGTTCACAAAGGTTCTATTTCACATCTTCTTACATTTCCACATGTACCACCCACGCGTTATTTGTAACGCTGCTCAATGGGTACGGCCGTGATCGATCGCTCTGCCCTCTACCTACAACCCTCACGGATTGCGATTCGTACAGGATACAACGTCCAATACACCTAAGCATTCCAGATGAAGTTCCGTAGACGTAACGTGATGACATTAATAAATAAATGAAACTGGCAGCAAATGATTTAATTAGTCTCATTGCGTAAGTAGCACGTTTCCAATTTGGGGCCATAGTTGCTGTTGGGAGGACATCTCTTCCCGTCCACGCCATTCCCCGTCTCATCACGAGCATCCCGATCTGTGCAGAGTGCGGGCATTTTCACGGAGGGACGTGGGGAGATCTAACAATTGATTGGTGTGTGCCTTCCTTTCGCGTGCATATATGTATACTGTGACTGTATATTTTTTTTACACATTCAGCTTCAATTGTACGCGTTCAATTTAGGGAATTTAGTTGTAAATGAAAAAAAAACACGTGCTTTTATTTTCATTTAAAATCTTAGCTAGATCAAGTGGGAGGGGGGGGAGAGTAAACTAGTTACATTTCACTGTCTGTGAATTTTTAATAGAACTTGCATAAAATATGCGGTACTGTGCATACAACAGCAGCTGGAGCGGCGGTCAGGCTCAACCCACTGCTGGATGAAGAACCCCTCCTCCTCCTAAACCCACCACCAACCTCTGTGCACGATCGCGCGCTATAATATCCCAACTCTAGCCCGCGAGCTGACGACATCGTCGCTCCAGCACGGCACCGATCTCACATCTCGAACTATGATAGGACAGCAGCAGCAACAACAACAACAAGATCATCAGATGAGATAATAACCACGGGATACACAGCCAAAATCCCCCCGCCCTCCCCTCCGAAGCCTAGATGCAAGTGTAGATCCTTGTGAATGGCATCTCACCCCCCCCCCCCCTCCTTGCCCTGTCCCTTGGCCCACGGTTCCGGGCCATGCGGGCCGCACGTGTCGACCCCTTCCCCTATGCGCACTCACACAGTCCCTTTGTGTCCCAGTCCATTGTGTGAGTCAGGCCCTGTTCACTACCGCCATCTAGTAACATTATTGTAACTTGGAACGCCCAGTGGCATACAGAGGCTCCGACGCTACGCGTTCCATTCATGTGTGTGTGTGTGTGTTGAATAGTATGACAATTAAAACAGTTGCAATTATTTGTTTTGTTAAATACTTTCGACACCTTTGTTAAGGTCCTACCCACCAACACATAGGGGTGTGGTGGGTGGGGTGCAACTCTTCTTCACCACGTAGGTCTTGTCAGTGCAAGGCGGTGTTGGGTGAGGTGTGGGCATGACCTGCTCGGACATGTGTACCAGCACAAGGCACTGGGTGGCTTAAACAAATGCGTTACAACGATTAGAATCATTCTAATAAACTGTCCTCGTTGGGAAGGTAATGCGGAATTGTGTTCGTTTCTGTGTGTGCCTGGTGCTGGCCACCCACCCCCTCGTGTGCCGTGCCGCCCTTCGCATGTGATACTCGCGAACAGCACTTGCCCCAACAGTCTGTTGAGGCTCTAACGGGGGGAAGGGGGGGGGGGGGAACAATTGACAAACAAAGGGAGCCCCAAGTTTCTGGGGAGAAATGGTCTCTGTGAGCTTTGGCCACTGTGTATGTGTCTCTCCCGCTCGTTCTCTACCTCTCGTTCTCGACTGCTCGCAACCCTTTGCGCCCGGGTTCGACGTCAAGCACCGACAACGCTCTGTCCAGTTGCCGTACAGCGAGCGACACTCTTTGTATGCGCATACACGTGCTGACCACAGGAGTTGCGGCTGCCTCCAATTGCCTCGCTGAGAACGGACTTTACACATTTACAAAGATCCCCCGTGTAGCCTGGACAGATTGTCGGGGCAAGTGCTGTTAGCGAGCACCTATGAACGCCGGCGCGGCACACGTGTTGGGTGAGTGGCCAGCACCACGCCCAGCCGTCTTTGTCTCCCCAGTGGCGATGTTTACACACCGCACCAGGTACTCCTTTGAGGCTGAGTCGACCTAGGGGAGGCGCAGGACCGGTTCAGATAATTATCGCCACTGGGTGTTGGCCGTGATCGGGAATAGAACCCGGGTGGCCAGGTTCGTAGCGCAGCGTGTTAATCACTGCACTGCCGCTCCCTACACATATATATATACACACACACACATTCATAATGTTCATACAGCCATGGTCAATACACTGATGAATGCCTTTCGATGTTCGTGAAGGTAGAACAACGATCAGGCGTGCTGGGCGTGTATCCACCCTTACACGTCGCATTCGATATGGAATTGCAGCACCGTCGTGGACACATCAATCGAACTAACATGTACAATTTAAAACGAACGTATTTTACGTAATACATACATACACAGTGTATATACGATATTGACAAAGTAGTGGTTTAACGTTGATACGCATACCGATTGAATGAAAGTATTTGTACCAATATGACCAATCATTCATGGATGCATCGGCGTGGTAAAGTATGACCACATCATCTCGCCCATCAGCGGCCGACTCCGTACGGCATCGATGATGGGAGATCCATCATCCAGCAGTGGATAAACACAACTGGTGATGTATGATGTACATACCACAGCGCATACACAGTGTATTTGTAAAACGCATTTAGTAACGATACTCGTCTTGAATGACCAAGAATTCGTACATATTTCACATACGACACACAAAGACACAGATCCCCGCTATAGCCTTAATAGACTATTGGGGCAAGTACTGTCCATATATATATACATACACACACAGTGTAAATGAGCCATTGTAAAACGTATGTTGGTATTGATGCGCGTCTTAAGTGACCGTGCCAGACAGACACGTGCGGCGTGAAAGGGCTGCCGTAGGACATTTTACTGCAGCGTACAGAGAACGTCCACTCAACGTCACGTTGATGGACATTCACTCGCGTTCTGGGCCCCTCTCTCTCTCTTCTCCTCTTCTCCGTTGTCGCGCTCACAGTGATCACCACTAACACCGATGACGAAATCCCGAGATCTAAATCAGGCGGCCTCGGCGTGCGTGGGTGCAGAGCGCGCAAACATCACACGGCGACTTCCACAGAAGAGACATTTTATAGCAAATTTATTCGCATGATTGTCCAATCCCACCCACCCCACCCACCCAGCCACCCCAGCGGTTTCGATGGCATTGTTTTTGTTCATTTTATTGTATGTACAACACAGAGACACAAACTTCGTGCACGGACAATGAACGTAATTCTTATCTCGTTACTGGTTATTTTTTTGTTCGTTTGTAGTTTTGTTTTTTAACAAAAATGAAATATAATGTAGATAAACATCTTATTTTTGTATATTTACAATTACAACATTGAGACCTCATTGGCTAATGGGCGATTAGCGACAATATATATATAGCATAGAGAGGAAACAGGCGTGCATTGGTGATTGTCAACATATGGATGATGTAATTATCGTAAATACAGCTTTAGTCACACGATGTGTGGTATTGGGGCGAAGACGCGGTATATATATAAGCACACCAACATGACATGATGAATACAAGTCCTCGATTGGTTTGTTTTACAAATAAAAGTTATATTTTCCAGTGCTATCGACTGTTTCAAGTTGGTATGTATTGTTGTTTGTGTGTGTGTGTAAGTGTTTGTTTTGCTCCGTATGGTTTTGTTTTTGTAAGATATTTCTTTAAAAATGTGTATACGTGTGCTGTCGCGTGGATACATCCATGAATTTGCACCGCGTGCAAAAAAAAAGATGTAGGGTCGCCAAGTCCATGGAAACGAGAAAAAAATAGGCGGCTAAAGATACCGAGATGAAGATGGGACACGAGAGAACGACAAGGTGGGACAGTGCAGCTGTCGAGAAAACGCTCATGACAAAAACAAAGAGAGTAAAAACACCCGACAATGAAGACGACCGAGCGATTCAGCATCATGATAAATAACCTCCCCCCCCCACCCCCCACACAAAAAATATAAAACAACGCAAGTCCGTCATCTCTCACAGCACGCTCTGCACGACCACCGCCGTCTCACTTGCACCCTGGAGCAGTTAGCGCAAAGAGGACAAATATGAGACACGCGGAAGAAGCAGAAGGAAGAAGAATCAGAAGCAGAAGAAGAAGATGATGACGAGGATGGCCCATGGACGTGGCGCGCCACAAGACGAGCAGGTTTCCTGCGCCACGCGAACGCGTCTGGGAGACGGGATTTTGGTGCAGGCGGGGAGCGTAAGGGGACCTCCTTGGCGTCTCCGTCAACCCTCGCAGTCGCTCTCGCTGCACGCGGGCGACGTGGTGCAGGCCGTGGCGGCTGGCCGATCGCTCAGGCTGGAGAGGCTCGTGGTGCCGGGGCTGGCGACGGCGTCGGGAGATTCGCTGAGCTGGCGACCCTCGCCGCCCGCGCCATAGACGCGCGAGTCCGGGTGCCCGGCGCGATCCGACGAGCACAGAGCTATGGGCACCTGCAGCCTGACAGCGACACGCACAACGCAGCGGCGGCAGCAGCGGCAGCAGCAGCGGCGTGCAGTACACACACACACACGCACAGCTCGGTCATGCGACGCCCTGCATCACCTCATGCGGGGGGAAAAGAAAGGAGAACGCAAAGGCTGACGCTGAGCGGCTGGTGGTCTGCAACAGCAGCAGCAGCATCTGCAACCGTACATGCAAGTGCTGCAATCAGCGAACTACCACGTGTCCCTCTACAGTCTACACCGTGCACGCTACACCCTGCTTCGTTGTCATCTACCCCCCCGCCCTGCAACCAGCAACCGACAAAGTACACCCTGCAAATACACCGTGCATCGATGTCCTCTGACTGCTGCAACCAACAGCCTGCAAAGCGTCCCTCTGGAGTGCACACCCTGCAAGGCTGCAACCTTTCCCTTCTGCAACCAGCAGCCTGTAAACCGGAGACTGGACCGAGTCGCATCGGGCACCTTGGGGCCGGCAATGCGCGCACGTTGCTGACCGCAACTCGCGCCGCCCTGGAGATTCTCCTCCCGTTGCCGCATTGTGATTCGAGACGAGCGCACGAGTTCACCAAAGAAAACAGCATGGACAATAACTTCCGTCAACAAGGATGACAACAACAACAAAAATAGCATCAACAAGCACGTGATCGAGGCCACGAAGTGTGCCAACATTCACCTGGGGAGCTTTTGGCTTGGCTCGCGTTCACAGTCACTGCACCTGGTCTGTAAATGAGCCAACAAGCAGGGTACGCGTGTGACCTGGTGGCGGTCAATAGAAACTATCGTTCGTGACAGGTGCCCTTTGCTTGTTAAGCTCGTTGGGGTCACGAGTCTGGGCTGTTGTTGTTTACATGGAGACCCGGGTAGAGTAATTGTGTGTGTTCTTCGGCCGTGTGTAGTCAACAAAGGCGAAAATGTATGGATTTTAAATGAGGATGTTATACGAATATCACTTTGTTTTTAAGGCGAGGACACAATTGAAATCGTAACTCTGGGGTTTCAGTGACAATTTTGCTTTGTTTCCATATTACTCAAACGTGAAAGCAATGCACTTTATAGAAATGTATCCTACGCATCATATAAAACGTACCATATTAATTCAAGTGCAATGTCTGTTGTCATTTGTTTTTACTCGAGAGAGATATACATATACACACATATTTATATATATATTTGTTCCAAGTGCCATTACTTGTGAAATCAAATGATCGCCGCGCCCCACTTGTCACGCGAGTCGGTGGATGTCACCCGCGCGCGCCCCACGGGGCTCACGCCCTGTCTCCTCGTGTCGTCCTCCACGTGTCGTCCCCACGACCCTCACTCACCCCGAGGGGCTCAGAACGCCGCGCAACCATCACTCGCTTCGCGCATGGCAACGCAAACGAGAGTGAGCGCGTGCGGCGATATTTTTTTATAATTTGACCAAAACATTGCCGTAAGATCGGGGTGAGCTTATTTTGAAAAAGTCACATAAACGGCATTAATAACACCGTGATTATTAATATCCTAACGTAGTGACGTTATAATTATTTGTAATTATATCGTTAATTACAATTTGTGCATTTGACTCAAGTCGAGGAACAATGCGATTGCGTTAATGGGTGCAGTGCGTGCGCGCGTAGATCTATTTGTTTGTGTATACACATAGACGCACACGCGCACAATGTGTATGACCAGCCATTCACTTGTCATGGACAATCGACACGGACCATAGCGACCGCAAAAGTAGCGAACGTCGAGATGATGAAGCGTCCGACAGTTGACGCTGCGCTTTTCTCTACAATGCATCTTGACAGCTCTCTCTGCAAACGTTACTTTCTTGTTTGCTTTTGTTTCCTCTAAGGGCTCACATTTATAGTCGCGAGATCGCGCGTTCGGATGGGAAATGTTGCAATATTGCCGGCAACATCTGCTCACCGCCGCAGCCGAGAATGCCGAGGCGCTGTCCGATCTATTTATCACGAAAGGCGATACAGACGCCCGATGCTATCCCCGCGTATGGCATGGAAATTAGGAACCTTGCCAATTGAAAACGAACAGCGACCCATCGCACGGTGGACGACACTGCGACCGAAATCACTCTAGGTATTTATATTATATATATATGTGTAGTTTCTGAGTGACGGCCTGCATTCATATATATATACACACACATCCAACTTTATTTCCCTACATACCACGTTGAAAATTATATTTTGACAATGCGACAGTAATAATAACAACAACACTAGGGTATATAATGTTCGTTGTAAATATTTAATATTGTAAGTAATTATAGCGGATTATACCCAACAGTGCCCTTGTTGTTACGCGTTGCAGATAATCGTACACATTTCACTAGAAACCAAAGCCGCTACTTACTCTGTAAAACATTTTAATTCTTCAGCAAATAAATAAATGTTGGGCCCCACGTCAACGTGTGCTGTTAGTTGTGCACGACGGTCACTCGCATACAATTCGACGCTCTCTGCCATGACCGTTGACGCATTGAAAATAGACGACAACAACAACGACAACAACAACAACAACGACGACGACAACAACAACGACAACAACAATAACAACAACGGCCTTGATATCGCGACGGGAGACGCGCCTGTTCCTTTTTCTTCTCTCTGCCGAATTAACTCGCAAGCATTCAATACGACGCAGCGTCAACAGAGCGCGACGACTCTGCTAACAACCCACTCGCGTTGCCTAAATATCCCAACGCATCTACAGTACACTTTGATGCATCACACTCGCATCATCATCATCATCATCTCTCGTCGTCGTTTATTATCACGTATTATTCGTATTGCTGCTGCTGCAGCTACCACTACCACGACACCGGTCGGCTCTGAATGTGAACGAACACCGAAAGAAAGTGAGAGAGAGAGAAAGACCGCGAGTATCGTTACAATTAATCGGGACGCGCCGTACCAAAAGTAGCCGCTTGACTCGTGCAGCTTAAAGCAACTCACATTACGGGCGATGACAATGACGCGGCTTTCTCGAGTCTCCCCTTCGCTTCGCACGACGCAAAACAGCAGCAGCACCGCCGCCACCACCGCTCATCACCCACCTATTTTTGGCCGCAGCAGCTCTGTCTCTTTGCCTCCGATTCTTGAACCAGTTGCCCACTTGCGTGGGCGTGAGGCCAGTCGCCTGTGCCAGCTCCCGCTTCTTAGACGGGTTCGGGTACGGGTCCTGCAGGTACCACTCCCGCAGCAGATTGCGCGTCCGTTCCTTGAAGCAGTGCGTCTTCTGCTCCCCGTCCCAGATCGTCTTGGGCAGCGGGAACTTCTTGCGTACCCGGTACTTGTCCACGGGCCCAGCGGACGGCCGCGCGACTTCTCAGCCTCCTGGTAGTGCGCCTCCAGCCACATGGCCTGCAGCTTGGCGTGCGACTCCTTGGTGAACTTGTGGTTCTCCAGGATGTGGTAGAGGTCTCTGAAGTTGCCCGCGTGGAATGCCACGACGGCGCGCGCGCGGAGCACCGACTCGTGCTTGTTGAGGGCCTCCCAGGCGCTCGGCGCCACGGGAAGAGACCAGAGGAAGCGGCCGAGCCGTTCGATGTCGCCGCTCTCCTCCAAGGTCTCGCACACGCTCGCCACTTGCTGCGGGGAGAAGCTGAGGATCGGCAAGTGAAACATTGATGCCTCGGGTACCGGCAGGCTCGACCCGACCGTCTCCTCCGAGCGATTTGCGGCCACGCGTGGTGACTACGATTTAAACAACCGCTTATCCCGAGCCTCGGAGGATATGCACAGCGGCGCTTTCTTAAACCCCCCGGGAGAAAAAATAAAAAAGCTTGCGCTTAGCGTTTTATGTTGCAAAGCGGGCCTCCCCAGCCTTATTTATTCGGGGGACGAGGCCCGGTCTCCAGCAGCTAGGAGGGATGCGAAGCCCCAGCTCTTCGGTGGCAAAGAGGGTCGACTTCTGATTGGTCCTCCATGGCTTGTCTGGCCCCGGTTTCCATGGCTTCTCTCCCCATCACTGTCAAACTCCCTCCCACCCACTCACTCGGTATACCTACCCCGACCTCCTTCCCACCCCTCTTCTCTCTCTACCCCCCTCCTCCCCGTTACCCCCTCACCCTCCCCCCTACCCAAACTCCCCTGCCCGCCACAACCCCTCAACTGCCCCCCCTCCTCCTCCTCCCTTCCACGGCTCCCTTTAGGCGCACACGGCAGCTCTGACCAGCCTTGCCAATCAGCCGCCTCCGCTGAGCCGCGCGCGCATCGCGGGGTGCCAAGCACGCGAACACCGGAGGAGCGGTCCCGGGTGCTTGCCCGTCGACGGAATTAGCCCGACAGGACGCGCGCGCGCGCTCAGTGCGCCGTGGTTGGCGCGCCCGATCCTGGAGGGAGCGCAGAGCGCCGCTCTGCCCGTATCATCCGCGCGCGGTTGCTGCAACAGCGTGTGTGAAGTGTGTGTGTGTGCGTGCGTCTTTGTGAGTGTGCGCGCGCGCGTGTGTGTGTGTGCCGCATGCACCGAGCAATGCAGTGCGCGCCTTAAATAATGCATTTGCGTCCACGCCGACCGCCAATTAAATCGATTTGAGCGCACCGGGAGGGAGAATTGTCTCTTCGCATTTCCTCCGTGTCCTCGCACCCAGCGAGAGAGCGCCGCGGAGAGGAGGCGATGTGGGGGAAATACGGAGGCAGAGGCGGCACGTCCGTCTCAGGCGTCTGGGAGCGCACACGAGTGAGTGAGTGAGTGGGTTAGTGTGTGGGCGAGTGGGTGAGTGAGTGGGTTAGTGTGTGGGCGAGTGGGTGAGTGAGTGGGTTAGTGTGTGGGCGAGTGGGTGAGTGAATGGGTTAGTGTGTTGGTGAGTGGATGAGTGAGTGGGTTAGTGTGTGGGCGAGTGGGTGAGTGAGTGTGGGCGAGTGGGTGAGTGAGTGGGCAAGTGTGTGGGCAAGTGGGTGAGTGAGTGGGTTAGTTTGTGGGTGGGTGAGTGAGTGAGTGGGTTATTGTGTGGGCGAGTGGATGAGTGAGTGGGTTAGTGTGTGGGCGAGTGGGTGAGTGAGTGGGTTAGTGTGGGCGAGTGGGTGAGTGAGTGGGTTAGTTTGTGGGTGGGTGAGTGAGTGAGTGGGTTATTGTGTGGGCGAGTGGATGAGTGAGTGGGTTAGTGTGTGGGCGAGTGGGTGAGTGAGTGGGTTAGTGTGGGCGAGTGGGTGAGTGAGTGGGTTAGTGTGTGAGTGAGTGAGTGGGTGAGTGAGTGTGTGGGCGAGTGGATGAGTGAGTGGGTTAATGTGTGGGTAAGTGGGTGAATGAGTGGGTTCGTGTGTGGGCGAGTGGGTGAGTGAGTGGGTTAGTGTGTGGGCGAGTGGGTAAGTGGGTTAGTATGTGGACGAGTGGGTGAGTGAGTGGGTTAGTGTGTGGGCGAGTGGGTGAGTGAGTGGCTTAGTGTGTGGGTGAGTGAGTGGGTGAGTGAGTGGGTGAGTGAGTGGGTAAGTGAGTGGGTGAGTGAATGGGTTAGTGTGTTGGTGAGTGGATGAGTGAGTGGGTTAGTGTGTGGGCGAGTGGGTGAGTGAGTGTGGGCGAGTGGGTGAGTGAGTGGGCAAGTGTGTGGGCAAGTGGGTGAGTGAGTGGGTTAGTTTGTGGGTGGGTGAGTGAGTGAGTGGGTTATTGTGTGGGCGAGTGGATGAGTGAGTGGGTTAGTGTGTGGGCGAGTGGGTGAGTGAGTGGGTTAGTGTGGGCGAGTGGGTGAGTGAGTGGGTTAGTGTGTGAGTGAGTGAGTGGGTGAGTGAGTGTGTGGGCGAGTGGATGAGTGAGTGGGTTAATGTGTGGGTAAGTGGGTGAATGAGTGGGTTCGTGTGGGCGAGTGGGTGAGTGAGTGGGTTAGTGTGTGGGCGAGTGGGTAAGTGAGTAGGTTAGTGTGTGTGCGAGTGGGTGAGTGAGTGGGTTAGTGTGTGGGCGAGTGGGTGAGTGAGTGGGTTAGTGTGTGGGCGAGTGAGTGGGTTAGTGTGTTGGCGAGTGGGTGAGTGAGTGGGTTAGTGTCTGGGCGAGTGGGTGAGTGGGTGAGTGAGTGGGTCAGTGTGTGGGTGAGTGAGTGGGTTAGTGTGTGGGCGAGTAGGTGAGTGAGTTGGTTAGTGTGTGGGCGAGTGGGTGAGTGGGTTAGTATGTGGACGAGTGGGTGAGTGAGTGGGTTAGTGTGTGGGCGAGTGGGTGAGTGAGTGGCTTAGTGTGTGGGTGAGTGAGTGGGTGAGTGAGTGGGTAAGTGAGTGGGTAAGTGAGTGGGTTAGTGTGTGGGCGAGTGGGTGAGTGAGTGGGTTAGTGTGGGCGAGTGGGTGAGTGAGTGGGTTAGTGTGTGGGTGAGTGAGTGGGTTAGTATGTGGGCGAGTGGGCAAGTGAGTGGGTTAGTGTGTGGGCGAGTGGGTGAGTGAGTGTGTGGGCGAGTGGATGAGTGAGTGGATGAGTGAGTGGGTGAGTGAGTGGGTGAGTAGGTGAGTGAGTGGGTGAGTGAGTGGGTTAATGTGTGGGTGAGTGAGTGGGTTAGTGAGTGGGTGAGTGAGTGGGTGAGTGAGTGGGTGAGTGAGTGGGTGAGTGAGTGAGTGGATGAGTGAATGGGTGGGTGGGTGAGTGAGTGGGTGAGTGAGTGAGTGAGTGGATGAGTGAGTGAGTGAGTGGGTGAGTGAGTGGGTGAGTGAGTGGTGAGTGAGTTAGTGTGTGAGTGAGTGGTGAGTGAGTGGATGAGTGAGTGGGTGAGCGAGTGGATGAGTGAGTGGGTGAGTGAGTGGATGAGTGAGTGGGTGAGTGAGTGGATGAGTGAGTGGGTTAATGTGTGGGTGAGTGAGTGGGTTAGTGAGTGGGTGAGTGAGTGGGTGAGTGAGTGGGTGAGTGAGTGAGTGAGTGGATGAGTGAATGGGTGGGTGGGTGGGTGAGTGAGTGGGTGAGTGAGTGGATGAGTGAGTGAGTGAATGGATGAGTGAGTGAGTGAGTGGGTGAGTGAGTGGGAGAGTGAGTGGGTGAGTGAGTTAGTGTGTGAGTGGGTGAGTGAGTGGGTGAGTGAGTTAGTGTGTGGGTGAGTAAGTGCGTGAGTGAGTGGGTGAGTGAGTTAGTGTATGGGTGAGTGAGCGGGTTAGTGTGTGAGCGAGTGAGTGGGTGAGTGAGTGGGTGAGTGGGTGAGTGGATGAGTTGGTGGTTGAGCGGTTGAGGGTTCAATCGGGACGCTGCCTCCTCCTTCACCTCCACGACGCCCCCCGCCCCTCCCCCCCTCGGGGGCGGACGCAGTCCTCGACCGGAGCGACCCGCACTCTCTCGCTCGCTGTATCGCTCTCTCGCATCAGGTATCACTCGAGTTCGTGTAATAGGCAGCCTCCGAGCGCACGCGTGCCAACAGAGCGGTGCCGCGCGTGCGTTGCGCGAGTTGCCTCGAAAGTCAGCGACGAAACACGCAGCCAGACGCACAGACGGAAAGGAACCGACAGATGACGGACGAACGGAGGGTCACGCAGACAGACGTGCGGACAGTCAGACCGACACGAGTACAGACGGGTTGGACGTGACGTCAAGACCGAGGGCACGCCGCAGACAGACGGGCAGAGGGACGTTCCACTGGCATACGAGAAGTGAAGCGCTTTGGAGTGAAGTGCAGAACCCCTCTCGGTGCCAGACGACTCAGTTGCGATAAAACGCAGCGGCGTTCGTGCCGCACGTGGAGAGGAGACGCAGCATGTTGACTCTTCTCTTCGACGCATGTAGAGAGGGTGGGGGGGGGGACGCACAAAGGCAAAGATCCCCCAATTTAGCCTGAACAGACTGTTGGGGCAAGTGCTGTTGTCGAGCATCTATGAAGGGCGGAACGACAGACGCCGGGTCGCCTTTGTCTCCCTAGTGGCACTGTTTTTACACATCGCACTAGGTGCTCAATTGAGGCTGAGCCGACCTCGTGGGAAGCCCAGGACCGGTTCAGTCACTGGTGTTGGCCGTGAGCGAGAATTGAACTCGGTCGAGGGGTTCGTAGCGCAGCGTAGCGCTAACCACCACACCCACCGCTCCCCACACGAACACACACAAAAGACAGACACACGAACGCACCACGGCACAGACACACACATGCGTATACACGGAGACGCACCAAGCGTACATACACACGCACAGACACATGAACGCACACAAAGACACATTAATGCACGTGCATATACACACACACCAACGTCGAAAACGTGCTTACACGCGTAGACACAAACGCGCACCTACGCACAGACACACACGAACGCAAACATAGAGGACACACGGGCACACACATGCACACGTGCACCCACACGCACACGCGTAAAGACACACAACTACACGATAAAAAGCTCCCCCACTATAGCCCTAACAAACTGTTGGGGAAAGTGCTGTTAGCGACAAACCTATAAAGGCCGCCACGGTACACGAGAGGGTGGGGTGGCCAGCAACCACGCCCGACCGCCTTTGTCACTCCCAGTGGCGATGTTTACACACCGCGCCAGATACTCATTTTGAGGCTGAGTCGACCTAGGTGAGGCCCAGGAACCGGTTCATAATAATCGTCACTGGTGTTTGCGTGCTCACCGCTCCACAAAGACAAAGGTCCCCCGTATAGCCTGGAACAGACTGTTGCGGTAAATGCTGTTGGCGAGCACCTATGAAGGCCAACACACATACATACATACAGACACGCAAACGCTCACACACACAGAGACTTTTAGGCGCAGAGCCCTGCAGACATATGAGCTGCGCTACGAACCCGGTCACCCGAGTTCGATTCCCGCTCACGGCCAACAACCGGTGACGATTATCTGAACCGGTCCTGGGCCCCCTCCCCTAAGTCGACTCCGCCTGAGATGAGTACCTGGTGCGGTATGTAAACAATCGCCACTGGGGAGACAAAGGCGGTCGGGCGTGATGCTGGCCACCCACCGCCTCGTGCGCCGTGCCGGACTTCACAGGTGCTCGCTAACAGCACTTGCCCCAAATAATCTGCCACGGCTACCTGGGTG